CCCCGCAGCGGCCGCTGCTCGCCGCCGGCCCGCGGCTCCGCGCCTTCCTGGAGCAGCGCTGCCCCGCCGTGGGCGAGACCTTCTACCCCACGCCCTGGTGCTTCGAGGGCCGCCTGCAGACCGTGCTGGGGGCCCTGCTCTGGGCCCGTCCGCCCGTCTCCTACCGCAGGTGAGCCCGCGGCACCGGCCCCGGCCCGGTTCCCCCCCACTGCCCCACCGACCCGCCGCTCTGCCCGCAGCGAGGCCATCCGCGCCCCCGACGGCGGGCAGCTCATCCTTGACTGGGCCGAGGATGCCGACAGCAACTGGCACCCAGACCCCCGCGCCTGCCCCACTGTCCTGCTGATCCCGGGCCTCACCGGCAGTAGCCAGGCCGCTTACCTGCTCCGCCTGGTGCACCGGGCCAGCCGCGCCGGTTACAGGTAAGCCCCGGGGACGGGACGGCCACAGACCCGCCAGCCCCTCACACCTCCCCTCTCCCCCAGGTCCGTCGTGCTCAACCACCGGGGCTGCTGGGGCGAGGAGCTGCTGGGGGGTGAGGACCGCGCGCACCCCCCCCCCCCCCCGTGCCCCTGGGCAGAGCCAGGAGAGCCCAGCCCCAGCTCTGCTCCCCCCTCAGACCCCCCGGACCTTCTGTGCCAGCAACACCGAGGACCTGGAGATGGCCATAGCCCACATCAAGCGCCGGTACCCACAGGCCCCGCTGCTGGCCGTGGGTGTCTCCCTGGGCGGGTACGGGCAGCCCCCACACCGGGGATGGGCCGGGATGGTGGCATGGCTGCCCCTGACCGGCTGCACCGCAGGATGCAGGTGCTGAACTACCTGGGGCGGCGGGGGTGGGCGGCAGGGCTGGCAGCGGCCATGGCTCTCTGCCCCAGCTGGGACCCCGACGCCTCGGCCGCCTCACTGGAGCAGCCCCTCAACGACCTGCTCTTCAACCAGCGCCTCGCCGCCAGCCTGCGCTGCCTCATCAGCAGGTGGGGGGGACGGGACGGAGGGGGGGGGGGACACACCACACACCCAGTCCGGGGCTGGCAGCATTGCCTGGCACTGACCCCGGGCCTGGTGCAGGCACAGGGCAGCGATCGGAGAGAAGGTGGACGTGGAGCACGTGCTGCAGGTAGGACCCAGCCCCC